AATTACCCGGTTCAGTTCATACGAGTTCATTCGAGGGGTAGACAAGTCATAAAATAAGATATAGTGTGTTTTTATGTGCACCTGAAACCACTGTATATAACAAACGATAATTTTTCGACGGGGATAATCGTATATGAAAAAAAGAAACGCAATGTTGTCAAAACCAGCAGAATGCATAGAATTTTTACGTCATAATTTTCCTGGTTGAATTTAAAATATCAACTGATTTACCTTTTTTTATGCACCGCTTCATTTTTAAAATTAATAAGTGATCATTATTCTAATAAATATACAATATGTTCAATTAAGTCAGCACCATATGGGAACCTTCATTATTGTTGATTTTATAAAAAAAAGTTACTCTAATAAAATTTCCGCTTGGCCTAAAACCCAAAATGAAATTATATATCATTTTCTTTGCAGTTGTATATGGGGTTTTGTGCGGGTGCGAAACATGGACGCTGGGCCCTGCGGAAAGGAATAGGTCAGAAGCGTTCAAAATGTAGTGTTACAGGCGAATGATGAGGATATCGTGGATAGAGAAGGTTAGAAATGAAGAGATACTAGAAAGAATAAGAGAACAGAGGACTCTACGGAAGTTGATAAGAAATAGGCAAGATAAGTTGGTAGGACACCTTCTCAGGCATGAAGGTCTACTCAGAGATATATTAGAGGCAGAAAAGGCAGTTACGAGAGGTAGAGGTAGGGGTAGATTAGATTACCGTTCCCAAATAATTAAGGATATGGGTTGTTCTAGTTTTAGGGAAATGCGAAGATTAGCTCAGGATAGAAAGGAGTGGAGGTACCTGTCCAACCAGTCTGACGACCTTGTGATTATGATGATATGAGGTTTGTTGAAAAATATAAATTTTGCTCAAAACTAAAGTATATACCTTTATCTTTTACAATTTCGACAATCGTTATTAAAGAAAGTTGATCTTAATTGGAAACTACTGTCAGATATCTATCCACATGTCATTAAAAATCAGATTTTATTATTTTTACAAACTCCTCTGTAAAGATAAATAATTTGTCTACAAATCGACATTTAATCTAGGATGTACCTACTGACACACAAATGAATTTGTTGCCATCCATAAATTACGTCACACGAATTTCATGATTTTTTGACCCCTTCCCCGTCCTTGTCACAGCTGGTCACATTCATGAGACTCCCCCATTCCTAGTGTGACGTCACATATTTTGCAATTTTTACATCCACAAATTATTGAATTAAAACAGCAGTTCCGAAATTAGTTTTATTTCTATTTAAATTATTTAATAAAATTAATTTTCAAGAAATTAACAAAAAAAAACGATTACACGAAATTTAGGTCCCTCCCATCCCCTTGTCACGCGATGTCACACTTCGTCGACCCCCTCCCGCCCCCTTAATGTCTGACGTAATTTATGGATGGGCCCCCAGCTAGAATTCATAAAATACAAAAATTCTGTTAAGCTCTGTTAACCTCTAAGAAGAAAAACCAAATAGTGTTGATTGTAGGAGATAATTATAAAACTCATCGAGAAGCAACAGTTATTTTTAACAGGAGACTTCCGAACAGAAACATCCAACATTCGTCAGTTACGGGAATTATAAATAAATTTAAGATTTCTGGAAGTGTTTAATAATTTTAATAAAAAACGCCGGAAACGGGTTACAGATGATAACATAGAATTACAAGTGATGCTACCTGTTGTACAAAATCCAAAAACGTCATTGCGAAAGAGAGTAAAGTTTCCGTAACACAGCTTTTTCTAAAATGTAACTTTTTCTGGTTGAAAATGGCTTAAAATGACGTAATCATTAAAAAAATTACATGAAATAATAAGGGAGAAGGTGTTTTGAGTACTTTTTATTGAAAATAATCATTTTCAGATTACAGTTCACAGTTAACAGTTCATTTTGGCAGTTGCCGTTAACGTTTAAACTCCTGTAGTACTGCTTTTAGTTGGAAAAGGTCAATTTATAAGAAACTTAGAAGACAAAAATAGGGGGAAGGTGTTTTAAATAATTTTCTTTCTAAATAAATATTTTAAAGGTATATATAACCTATGCGAATTTCATAGTCACTTATCATAGATAACAGTCGCTAGTCAGCCGTTTCCGACTTCGCCGCTACAGTTTAAGTTGCATTCGTTTAAAAAATAATATCCGCCAAACGATTGTTTATACAATATAAATAGACATAACTTACCGTAACCAACAAAAACTAACTTAACTTAGGTTAGGTTAAGGTATGCAACACTGTCCCCGTTTCCCTATTTTATATACATACATGATGCCTGTACCTTCCTCGAATGGGAACAATTTGTATCTATTTATGAGCTGAGATCACTTTCTAAGTGAATGCAACTTGAACTGTAGAGGCGAAGTAAGAAACGGCTGAGTAGTGACTGTTAACTATGATAAGTGACTATGAAATTCGCATAGGTTATATAACTATAAAATATTTATTTATAAAGAAACTTGTTTAAAACACCTTAGACCTGTTTTTTTCTTTAGAGTTTCTTATAAACAGACCTTTTCCAACTAAAAGTAGTGCTACAGGAGTTTAACCGTAAACGACAACTCTGGAAGTGTTTATTTTCAATAAAAACTACTAAAACCACGACTATTTCATATAATGTTTTCATGATTAGGTAAATTTTAGTCATTTGCAACCAGAAAAAGTTACATTTTCGAAAACGGCGTGATACGGAAGTTTTACCTGAAAAATAATGTAAGTAGGTAGAGGTACATTGGTAAATATATTTTAAAAAAATAAGCATCATCTATATAAACCACACTTCGTTCATATATTAAAAGAAACTGATTATGATAACGGTTTGAATTTGAACGATTCAATTTTATTATGACATATAATTTTTTTGATGAGGCGACATTCTCTTCAAATGGAACTGTCAATACACAAAATTGTCGGTGGTAGAGTAATAGCAATCCCCATTTTACCGTCAAGACGCGTGGCCAATATTGACAAGACAAGACATGTATTGCGGTGTCTATAAGAATAGAATAGGACAGTCCACGAATGCCGAACGCTAAAGACAAACTGTTCTTGCAAGTCCGTCGACGAGTATGGTTCCAACAAGGAAATACCTTTGCAACCATTTTCAATGATAAATTAATACATAGATATTCCAACATTTTTTGGTCGGCCAAATATCTACACTTAACATTAACATCTCTGGATTATTTCTTATGAGGCTACTTAAAACAAAGAGTTCACCACCAAGGACCTCATCAAGATATTGATCATTTTGAAAAGATCATTTCTGAAACATGCCAGGAAATTATTTCAAATTTGATAAAGGATGTATTACGAATGAACAAACTAATCAATCTTTTGAAAGAGATGGTGAACATACCTAATATTAAGGCTTAAATTAATTAAAGCAAAATTTGTTATCTTTTGTTTAAATTTTCATTTGTAAAATGAATTAATATGATATGCACGCTTTAATTATTCAAATACAAAAGCAAATGGTTTCATAATTTACCAATGGGGAGAAATTACAATTTATTTTTACCCAAAAGTTATCCAAGATCGTTTTTCATTGTAGATGGATAATATTGAATATCTGACCGTAGTTTTCAATAAGAGATCAACTTTTCTTAATAACGGTTGTGGATATTGTAAAAATAAATGTACTTTAACACGTTTTTGCTCAAATCGAGTACACGACTGAAAAAAATTGATATCAGATTATTTTATTTTGGATTTTTGGCTCTACGGATCCTTTTATTAAGAATATCTTTGTTTTCTCTATATCTGCTATATTATTATGTACGGCTTTATCGAAACATTATACAAATATTTAACTTATACATAACTTTTATCTCCTCGTCCCTGCTGCGAAACTTGCTAACTTAGCACACGCTCTTACGTTTCATCATATCCTACTTGTCTTTAACTAAACCCTTTACCGTCCCATTTTCTTTTCTGTAACATCTGTGCCTGGGTAATCAAACTTTTATCTACATTTATTATTTTTTAATATCATATATAGTTAGAGGATAGAGAAGATTAGAAATGAAGAGGTATTAGAAGGAATAAGAGAACAGAGGACACTATGAAAGTTAATTAGAAATAGGCTAGATAGGTTGGTAGGGGCTGGTTAGAGACATATTAGAAGCAAAAATAGGAGTTAAAATGGGTAGAGGCAGACCTAGATCAGATTACTGTTCACAAATAGTTAAGGATGTGGGCTGTTCTAGTTTTGGGGAAATGCGAAGATTAGCTCAGGATAAGAAAGAGTGGAGGTGCGTATGCAACCAGTCTTAGAACTGACGACCTTATGATGATGATAATGATGTAGTTAGAGTCATATTAAAAGCGAAAAACAGAAGTTAAAGAGGAGTAGAGGTAGACCTAAATTAGATTAATATTGCAAATAGTTAAGGATATGGTTTGTTCTAGTTTTAGGAAATTGAGAAGATTAGTTCAGGATAGAAAAATGCGGAGGTGCGTGTCCAACCAGTCTTTGGACTGACGCTGATAATAATGAATCTCATATATGCCTTTCCTCCAAGGCCCTCCTCTAATATATATCTTAATGATTCTTTCTTTACACGTTTTTTTATATTTTGTATCTGCTTTGCTATTAAAATACTTTTTTAATAGCAAGGCAGTACTCGTCACTTGAACCGAATTTTTAGAACGAGTACGAGTACGAAAAGATTTCGAATACACTAAGTAGAGTGTAGTAAAAAGAGTATTTCTCCTGCGCGTCTCTAATTATAAATATTTATTACAGAAATAAATATCCGTATATGTTACAACAACAACAACAATGAATCACTGCATGTTTTACAAGCATTGGTAACAAAAATAATTATTATTTTATATTTCTTACAACGAACTGACCAAATTACGTATCGTAAGTGCATCAGATATCTTGTAATAAAATATTTACTTAAAGTAACCAACCATTTTTATACTTTTAGTTATTTTAGAATTTGTAAACACAATTGAATTTTGCAACTGAAACTGACATACCTTTCATTCCCACGAGAATAAAAAGAATTTTTTGCAGACCCATCGTGGTTTGTCAAGAAAACTTTTAAAGATGATCAATTTTGAGTAATCGAGATTTTCACAATAACAGAAGAAAATAGATGTTCGTCACACCACAATTTCTTTTATAAGCAAATGCACCATATATTTTGTTATTTTTATATCAATAATGTACAATATGAATCGAAGTTTATTTAAAGTTTTAAAGTTTCACGATTGTTCACGTCAAAAAGTTTATAGGTAACTAAATTGAAAATATTTTCCAAAGCCACTTTTATGTGATAATAAAATTACAGCATGGAAATCGAACTGTTAAAATGTAAAAAACCAGATTCAAAAGTTACGCGGTTCGCGTCGCGCTGTGGACGAAGACTCCCTTCGATTCGGTTAAATCAGAACAAGAGACGGGGAAACACTGATGCATTTAGCCGAAAACAACCTCTGTCGCGCGCAAAGTTAGATGCCAAGTAGATATCAACAGTTTGTACAAGCGCACTCGGGGTGCGCAATCTATTGTTATTCGGTTTAGTTCGGCTGAGTTGGTGTCGAACTGATACAAAAAACTACCCCTCTAAAATGACGAATAAACATTAAGGATCGTTGTTTCTTAAAAACATTCTATTTTATTTATTAAATCATACTCCGCACAACACCTTTATAGAAAATCGGCTTCGGTCAAACCTGTTGAAATTAGAATATAATCACTTTCTGATCAAACGTTCTTACGGATCCAAGGTTAAAAAATAGAAAGATTCTGAACTACAAATCAAAATAACACAAAACTTTCAGCCTATGGATATTCCACTGATTTGAGTATCTACTCTTATAAATCTACTAGCGACCCGCCCCAGCTTCGCACGGGTGCAATGCTGATACTAAATATATATTTTTTTTGTTTAGATTATTCTCGAGGAGGGGAAATCTTCAAAAAACACCCCCTGAACATAGTAAATATACTACAGAATGTCTTTATATACAACATTCACAGCTTTTTTGTCATTAGACTATACAAACCGGCCGGTACTACCGCAACCGNACTTTTATAAAAATGTTTCACCAAGTGCCAAGCGAGTCTACAATTTCAAATATTTTTTTTTTGTTTAGATTTTTCTCGAGGAGGGGAAATCTTCAAAAGACACCCCCTGAACATACTAAATATACTACAGAATGTTTATATACAACATTCACAGCTTTTTTGTGAGACAATAGAAACCGGCCTCCCGGCTGGTACCGCCACAACCGCTACGTCCCTGCATTTTAAATCTGTAACATCAATATACAAATATTCAATTAAATTACATGCTGTAAAGGGCCATATTGTTCTATATTAAATGCAGAATGTATTTAAGGTACTTAATTAGATAAAAATGAATGCTTTTGCTTAAAATCGCTTCATAAATAAGCCATTATTTCTCATAAAAAGTAAAGGATAAAAAATGGTTATTGTGGCTTATCCCTAAGAGGAAAAAACTTAAAACTTCTGGGTGTTTCATTCCCACCAGCCAGTTATGCTGGTGGGCGGGCAGTCCCTCCGGACTATGCCGGAAGGTAGGGCGGAAGGCCCTCTTCAGCCTGCTTTCAGGAATCTTGGGAATGGGTGGGTGGTGGTTCGGGTGAGATGAACGAAATGAAGACAGAAGAGAGTGAAAGATTATCTGTGGAATATTACTGCCTCAGCATTTGCTTAAGTGATCCAAGGAAACCACAGAAGAACTTGGACCAAGGTAGACGGACCCGGAATCGAACCAGCGTCCTCCCGAATGCTAAGCAATGGTCTAAACCTCTAGGTCATGCCGTTCGGTATTCAACATTTGTACATATCTAGACCCTAGAGCACCATAATCGATTGAATATTTCACCATTAGGTAGACTAAAAGTCATTCATTACTTCAATTCGTAGCTCATAAACTTTTAATTTTTTGACCACGTGCCTCTTGATCAGAACGTCACAAAGGACGTCATACTTCAAATGCAGCCAATTTGACTGGAGTCGATTTTCTATAAAGATTGTATGGGATTCTTTCATTTGTATTTTTATAGTTTATTTCCTTACAAATTTTTGTATCTATATATTCGCCAAGCCACAGAATATCAGTATACAGAATATTTTCTATTAGTAACATCGGAGAAATTAACATCACGGATACGCTTCTAAATCCAGAAGGAAGTAGTGCTGGGATCATAATCGAGATAATAGAGTAGAGTAGGCATGCAGTTCTGTAAGCAATAGTGAGACATGAGGTGAAAAATAGTTGGACCTCTCCTTCCCTCAGTGTATTAATTTAATGGTGCTTTTGATTAGCCCGTACAGCTGACTACAAGAGAGTACAAGGTGCAAGCAGAGAAAAAGAGCTACAGATGGGGCCCCTTTATTTTCTGTTTCTTTTTTTCTAATGGGCACATTTGTCGATGAGCTTGTCTACTCTATTCGTTTATCTTTATGACGGGGAAATCGTTCAGAAACACTGATTTTCGACATCGAGGTTATGATATCTGTTACAATCATTGATGTCGATTGAAAAATATCGATGCTGATGATGAGCAAACAAAACCAAGACTATGACCAAAACTATCCCAGTCTTGATATTAGTCTTAGTCTTGCTTATTCAGTCTTGGGCTCGGTTTTGCTCAAATACTTCCAGTTTTGATCTTCGTCTTGTGTGTTAAGTTTTGATTTTGACCATTCAACCTGATTCTTACGTTTCTTTGTAATAATTCTTCTGAGCACAAGTTTTTCTATTAACCGGGACAATAATTTTTTAAATGCTGTAATTTTTTGTCATGCATGCGAGCTTGTTATGAGTTTTAAAGAAAATAGTGTCAATAGTTGTAAGAGTTTCATATACGAACGATGGTTTGATCGAAGAAAATAAATATATTGAAGTTGCTTGAAATAGTTGAACTCATAAATCTACCGGACGTAATAATTTTTCATTTAGTCTTGCGTATTTGGTCTTGGTCTTACATATTAGGCTTTAGTCTTGGTCTTCTTCGTTCGGTCTTGGTTTCAATCTTAGTCTTGTTCGTTCGTTTTGATCTTAATCTTGCTAGTATGAGAACCATCTTAACCTTGATCCTGGTCTTGATCTTACATTTTCAGAATACCAAAACCAAGACCAATTTTGCTCAACGCTAATGTAAGTAAGTAAGCAAGCAACATTGATGGTAGTTGTATTTAAACGATACGTACCGTAACATTATGATGGTAACTTAACTACTTACATGCTATTATTAAGTAGCTGTAGGCAAATTTAACATTTTTGCCTCAGCTTATGTCCCAACTCCGTTTTTGCCACCGTCTACTTTTATCTCTTTGGACCTAAGTAGTCGATGTATGTATTGTACTTGCCTCAGCGTTACGTAACCAAATAGTGCTACGCGATTGGTAATTTCAATCGTCTAGGCACATGGGAGTTTGGCCGCGTTGGGTGGAAGTGGGTGGTTGTGGATGATGAAAATGTGAAAAAATATATATCTGACCTTTTCTAACTTATGAGACCTTTTGGAAAAATTTCTGAAATGATCCAGAAAACTCCAGAACTGTTACAATTGAACCAGAATGTTCTAGAAGATTCTGAAAATGTTTGGAATGATCTAGAAATAATAATATAATAATATTAATTTCCAAAATTGTGTGCAACTGTTAAAATTGATATGGAATGTTCCAGAAAGTTCTAGAAATATGTGGAATGATCTGGAAAGTTCCAAAATTGTCATGCACGGAAAAGGCGAAACCGCTGGTATGTGTTGTTNATATTCTAGAACGATCTACTATTATTAAGAAATTTTATAAAGGTACAGGGTGGTCTGTCATTATCGGAAATATTAAACAATGAGGACAAGCTGTCATTGTTAAGAATAATCTTAAATATTCTGGTATTAGAAATTTCGATGTACGTATTATTGTATATAAACCGAAATTCAGTGACTTTTCGTCAGTTTGATCGTGTTTGCAATCGAGTGAAGATCAATTGAAATTGACAGTGAACAGTAATTAAACAAATCAAAGTGATTTTGACAAATGAAAAATAATAAACTATTTGAATATTTTAGAATGATCTGGTACTAGAAATTTCGATGTATTATGGTATATAAACCGAAATTCTATACACCGCATGTCTGATGGTCGACCAAGGGCTGATTTCCTGGGCAATGATCAAAGTTAACAAATAGGTTCAACTGATTTTAGCCTTTCACGTGCCCCTATTTTGAATAATAGTGGATCCTTAAATATTTTATATACCGTTAAACATGCGATGTATTTTAACCCGAGTAACGTCGGGTTTCGCTGTTAGTTGTCATATATTTCATTTTATTTGTATGTATTATTTAATGAGTTTCCAATTTTATATTTTTCAAACATACCTTCATTTTATTAATTAAATTAATCAAATAAATAACGTAATGGCCTATTAAAAAAAAAAATAAATCAAATGATATCAGTCAATCTAGACTGTTTATCACCCTGAAAAGAGCCAAATCAGAGGTTTCTAGTAGGAAGGTTACAAAAAAGAAACGTTCATCAAGCACTGGGCGAGGTGGTCTAGTGATAGTTGGATTATGGCATAGTTTTCGGAAAGGCATTGGCTCTGCCTTGGTGAAGACAAATACCGGAGCAGTTATATTTCATAGACAATCTACATTTGTTGCTTGCTCTATCCTCTCTGTAGATTTTGTCCTTCCTATTTATTTCTCTCCAACCACTACCAGTTCATTTCAGTACAATATTGGTCGGCGGAAGTAAAAAACCCAAAAACAAAAAATAAGGAAGGATGACAACCGGTCCTTTATTAAACTGCATACTGTCGGGGTATGTTTATGTTATTTAATTATTCCGGCCTACAATGTATTCACTCTAGCAGTAGGTATGTAGCGAAGCACACTTTTCTTTTTTAAAACTATAGTATTTATCGTTCTCACAAAGATTTCCTTTGTATGAGCGCAACCACGTAGTTCCTCACATGTAGGTATATATAAGAATAGATCCAGCAAGTGATAGCTATTTTATTAGTAAAGAAATTAATATACTAGGAATAGTTCTGCAGACTACTTCAGACAACTCGTTGTTTCAAACTTCATATATAGAATTTACAGATTAATGTCTTTTGAGCATGCGCTCGCAAAATATCACTATAAGTATCTATAGCAATGTTCTACACATCTTCCCGATGATTACATCGACCACCTCAATTCCCTACCCAACTCCATCAGATACCCACAAAACCAACCCAACTACATACAAACACACACACACACGCCACACACAAATAACACTCACAAAAACCTAAAATTTAAAATCACAAATCAGATTACAAAATTACTCATATGGCTGAAGATGACCAACTTCATTGGTCCTAGAACGGCCTGAGGTAGAGGGGTTTTAGTT